CCCATTGAAACAATGGATTCGGTTAACAAAATTTTCGGTTAACGAACGACTCTGTGGAGGGACCACCGTATAACGTTATTGTGTTTTCATGAAAGGAAGTTATGATGGAATCGCTTTGAACGAAATTTGAAACACTATGATCCGATATTACATTCATTTGCCAAATCCAATTACAATGACATTATGATTCAATGCATTTTGATATTATTTCTACGTCAATTGATGAGGTAATACAACGTATCATCTCATGACTGGTGCTGGCAACGGAACATTATCCGATACACACTACGAGACGATGTGGTCAAGTCCTCCCATAGGATTGACAGTCACTATGGAAACATCACAGGTAAAACGAGGGGGTGGATATACTAAATATTGACAGGTAGAAACTCTAATAATAAAATTAAAAAGTAAAAAAAAAGATCTCTATCAATATTGTTTTCATTTCCTGGAATGTGTTGTCATTGCCTAACATAGTGTTATTATTTAATAGTCATTGGCACTATATGACTATTATACTTATACCTATTACAGTTACAATGAGGTAAATAAAATGCTAACAATCATTGATTTATAGCTATGCTATTATTCAGAAAGTAACATTTCTCCATGTCTGTCGGTGCAAGTTGTGTTTTCCAATGAGTCTCGGGTACTATTGTTGGTCATGGATTTCCAGCAGAAAAGCCCACTATTTGACTACCACTGTTATTTTTTCGCTACGTTAATATCAATATATTATTGTACTAAAGATGGAGCACAGTGATTCACCATAATTACAACAAATGCCAGAAATAATAACTGGCTACCTCACAGTTACTAGGAAGGCAGACCTATCAACATAATGCAGGAATCACAATTAGTGATCAGAAATATTCCTCCATTGTGACACATTGTATCAATTAGGAAAGGGGCCGATAATTTTTGGGGAGAGTGCACATGTTAAATAAATATATAAAGAACATTAGAATGTGAATGGGGTAAATCTGAGGGAAAATTTTTTATTTATTTTTTTAAATATCAGAGTACAGTATTGTTACTATGGAACAATGTGATTATTATAGCAGTTTTGAGAGAATATATGGCTTTTAGTTCTGAATATCTATGTCAAAGTTATGAACTGGAACTATTAGTGGAGGAAGAATTTTGAATCTTTTATCATGAAACATCGAAGTATTCTAAAAGACCGACAGAAAAAACCGAGTCAACCATGCCTCCCTCCACCCCCAATCAAATGCATTTCACGTACGTTTTCTTTTTATAAATTCATGTGAAATTACAATATGCACTGCCATAAATTCTTACACCACCATAAGCTCTCACAAATGGTCGTCCAAGTTTTATATTGTTTCATGTTCATTATTTTATTTTTTACCATATATCCAATAAAAAAGAATTCATTGGACAGAAAGGACAATGATAATTAAATAATTAAGTTTTATTTTCATAAGTTTTGTAGGAGAATTAAGGAAGCCTGTATGCATTTAGGTAAATATGTACCAAGAAATAGGCCGAGAGAGGGGCTAAAAGAGCCCCGTCCAGCACCAGGTAGGGTTTAACCTTGGGCCACTGACAAATAATTTTGTTTAACATATTACCAGTTTTGTACTGACCACCACTAAGGTTTATAGAATTCATTTCCCTAATCAAACTCCCTTCAATCACAAGTCTTTCTGTGACACATGATGATTTATACACTTCTAAACAGTTTTCCAAATCCATGTGATGATTATTGTTCCTTCTATGAACGAACAGTGCACTGCTTTAAGATACTGTTCTAATATTATACTTGTGTTGTGTTATTCTAAGTTGTAATGCTTTCCCAGTCTGTCCTACATAATTTCCATTACAATTGCTACATGAAATACAGTAAACACTTCCATTTACTTTCAAGGTGTGGCTGTTCTTAATTAACATACTAGTAATAGTTGAGTCATACTTAAAAACAACATCAATGATTAATAATTTAAGGGGCTGAACTAACGAGACAACGATCAACAAACAATGTAGGGTAGCTAGGTTATTGTGCAATGGACAATGTGTTACAGTTCTTCAATAAATAAAGGGTCATATATGCAAACATCTCAAAAACATAGCAGAAAAAAATGACAAGCATGTGTGTTGATCATTGTCTTAAAAGGGGTAAAAGAATCCCTTTATTGTACTCACACTAGACAAGTCCCTACATTTAAGAATATTTTGACTACCTTATCGCAACGAACTTGTCCCATTAGTTGAGTCTCTTAAATCCTGCCCACATTTCCATTGTGGATCTAGTTGAAATATTAAAACAAATAAACTTTGAATTTTGTGAATCGGAAGTTTGAAACCGACAAGAAGCACTACGTAAAGTGTGATATGTGTAATGAATGGCTGCACAATAATGGTATATTATGGGACTTGTATAAAAAAAAAAAAAAAAGATTATCTTTCCTTGTAACTGGAAAAAATGGCCTCATATTTAAATCCTGACCGTTAATATCATTGTTCACCTCGGCCCACATCCTATGTGGGCCGAAGTCACCACTGTAACCGGGCCGAAGTCACCAAGGGCCGACTTCAATGGCACCCTAGAGTGTTGACAGTGACGGAGACACAAGGTACTGCCCGGGAGACTGTCCTTCACTACTACTGTAAAGTGACAGTGACACAAGTTGTTGGCAACACTATAGTACACTGCATCATACTAACAAGACAGGGACCAACTATGACACACCAACACGTCACTGTACTCTATATGTAATAAATTATTTCTCTTCATTCTTTATTTTCAACCTTTGGGCTGATACAACTGTTTCAATGAATGAGACAGGTAACACACGAGACAGGTAACACATCAGACAGGTAACACAAGAGTCAGGTAACACACAGGACAGGTAACACATCAGACAGGTAACACAAGAGACAGGTAACACACGGGACAAGTAACACACGAGACGGGTAACACACGAGACAAGTAACACACGAGACGGGTAACACACGAGATAGGTAACACACGAGATAGGTAACACATCAGACGGGTAACACACGAGACGGGTAACACACGAGACAGGTAACACATCAGATAGATAACACACGGGACAGGTAACACACGAGACAGGTAACACACGAGACAGCACGACACCACAACCGCATCCAGCCCATACGTGCACGAACTGATCGCTATAAGAACAGCCCAGTCCCAACCATTGTATAAATTATCAATAACTTGTAATAAATCAGTGTATTCACTCCCAGTAAACACTGCTCCTTACACTGTCACTATGTTGAAATGAACTGTAGTTTGAGCTTTTCCCCATCTAGTTATTATATATCTTATTTGTGTCACTTATGTTACTTGTATATTATTTGTAATTCGTAACCCATTCCCCAAATATGTAACTGTATATTTTCAGCCATCTGGCTGCCAAGCTCTTTCAATAAACCGTTAATTATTATTATTATTATTATTATTACATCTGACAGGTAACACATCAGACAGGTAACACATCAGACAGGTAACACATCAGACAGGTAACACATCAGACAGGTAACACATCAGACAGGTAACACACGAGACAGGTAACACACGAGACAGGTAACACATGAGACAGGTAACACATGAGACAGGTAACACATCAGACAGGTAACACATCAGACAGGTAACACACGAGACAGGTAACACACGAGACAGGTAACACATCAGACAGGTAACACATCAGACAGGTAACACATCAGACAGGTAACACATCAGACAGGTAACACACCAGACAGGTAACACACGAGACAGGTAACACACGAGACAGGAAACACACGACACAGGTAACACCTCAGAAAGGTAACACACGAGACAGGTAACACACGAGACAGGTAACACACCAGACAGGTAACACACGAGACAGGTAACACACGAGACAGGTAACACATCAGACAGGTAACACATCAGAGAGGTAACACATCAGACAGGTAACACACGAGACAGGTAACACACGAGACAGGTAACACACGAGACAGGAAACACACGACACAGGTAACACCTCAGAAAGGTAACACACGAGACAGGTAACACACGAGACAGGTAACACACCAGACAGGTAACACACGAGACAGGTAACACACGAGACAGGTAACACACGAGACAGGTAATAATTCTAAACAACGATAATATTAAAACAACTCCAGATAATAGTTTAAAAATGTGTTGCTTCATATTAATGGAGGTTAATAAATATAAAGACAATTAATGAGTAAAATAAACAGGTAAACATTGCCACTAAAATAAACATATTGATCACAAGTTAATTGGCTTTGTTGAGGTGATCTAGTATTGTTATGTGAGCTATAAGGTTATGTAGTTGTTAGTAAAGACCTGGTTGTTGTGTAGTGAGGGAGATGTAGAGTTATTTAGAGGAGGAAGTTGTTGACAAGGCGGACAAGAGGGAGGACAATGGTTCCCTCTCCTCCGTAACTTCTAGCTTATATTTACCTCGTCTAACTTTACAGGCGAGTCCATGGGGATCATATTCAAGTTTTATTGTCACTGGTTCCCCGTATTTATTTGTTCGGTTGCCCTCCTCGTGCCAAATATACACTGTGACCTTCTCGAACACCCGACCCGACGCCATTTTTCCTCTACTGTCACGGTTATACACCTTCGTAAATCGCCTGTATACATACTATTATTATTATTATCTATTTCCTTAAATACCTCTTAAAGTGAATAAATTATATCTAAATTAATATTTAAAATTATATAAAAGATAATTTATAATGAGTAAATTTATATAATATTTATTTTAATTAAATATGAAAGATGTATATTACTTAACCATTTGACAAAATTAAAAGATTATATATAACTCAATATTTAAATTAACACTAAGGAGTATTCATAATGAAGAAATTTATGTAATATTTATTTAAATAAGATATGAAAGATGTATAATTAGGTAGACTCGTTTTGATCAACGCTTCAAATTATACAAAGACGCAACAGACTATCCAAAACTAGTGTATGAGCCTCAGTGTCCTGGCAGTGTTGGTGCTGCTGAGCCACAACACTACAGGACCACACAAAGCCCGAGCACCACGCTAACACCTCACTCACACTAACATGGTGACAGATGATGAACTCTCCAGGTAATATTATCTCTTTCACCAAAGTTACTAGGGCCGTTTTGGTGTTACTATATGGTTAAACTTCTCTTCAACCTCCACTATGGTGTCTAAAGTCAGCCATCTCTATTGTTATATATATACTGTATATATTTTTACGGGAATAACAATAACTTGTACCTGGAGGTTAAGTGTTAGAATATTTTATTATGTATACTGTGTATTACTGTGACTATATGTTGTGTGGATAAACGGTAAATTTGCATTAGTTAACACAACTCTGTTAGAAAGTCAAAACTATATTTTTCTATTGTATTTTTGTGTGTTGATTGGTTTTGACCTTCATTTCCGTCGGAAATTTCCTGGTTTTTTTTTTGTTATCGGGGGTTTTGGGTGGGGCGTTTTCCAACAAAAATCATGGCCAAGCGAATACAAAATACACAAAAAATACTAGAAAAACAGGCACATAAACTGAACCTTTTTGGGGATGGGGTGACCTAACCTAACCAAAATAACCTCACCTAACTCACCATATGATGGAACCACTTATTTCTTACCTTGCTAGCTTGGTTATGGTTCGTTGTCGGATTTACCACAATGCCACATAATAATAATAATAATTAACAGTTTATTGAAAAAGTTCTGCAGCCCGAAGGCTGAAAATATACATTGGACATAAATGACTTATTACATACATTGGTGGTTTAAGGAAAGCCTTCATTAGAGAAAGGTAAAGGAACATACAGTGAACATACAGATTAATGTTTACAGTGGAGGTCACGTAGATCATGTGCACTGAGGTGTTGAACACCAAACACGTAGTGTAGTAACTCCCTCACAGATGGTGCTAGGAGGGACCTCACGTGGTGTAGTAGTTCCCTCACAGATGATGTTATGAGGGACCTCACGTGGTGTAGTAATTCCCTCACAGATGGTGTTATGAGGGACCTCACGTGGTGTAGTAATTCCCTCACAGATGGTGTTATGAGGGGCATCACTTGGTGTATGAATTGCCTCACAGATGGTGTTATGAGGGACCTCACATGGTGTAGTAGTTCCCTCACAGATGGTGTTATGAGGGGCATCACTTGGTGTAGTAATTCCCTCATAGATGGTGTTATGAGGGACCTCACGTGGTGTAGTAATTCCCTCACAGATGGTGTTATGAGGGGCATCACTTGGTGTATGAATTGCCTCACAGATGGTGTTATGAGGGGCATCACGTGGTGTAGTAGTTCCCTCACAGATGGTGTTATGAGGGACCTCACATGGTGTAGTAGTTCCCTCACAGATGGTGTTATGAGGGGCATCACTTGGTGTAGTAGTTCCCTCACAGATGGTGTTATGAGGGACCTCACATGGTGTAGTAGTTCCCTCACAGATGGTGTTATGAGGGGCATCACGTGGTGTAGTAGTTCCCTCACAGATGGTGTTATGAGGGGCCTGACATGGTGTAGTAGTTCCCTCACAGATGGTGTTATGAGGGACCTCACATGGTGTAGTAGTTCCCTCACAGATGGTGTTATGAGGGGCATCACTTGGTGTATGAATTGCCTCACAGATGGTGTTATGAGGGGCATCACTTGGTGTATGAATTGCCTCACAGATGGTGTTATGAGGGACCTCACGTGGTGTAGTAGTTCCCTCACAGATGGTGTTATGAGGGACCTCACGTGGTGTAGTAGTTCCCTCACAGATGGTGTTATGAGGGGCATCACTTGGTGTATGAATTGCCTCACAGATGGTGTTATGAGGGACCTCACGTGGTGTAGTAGTTCCCTTATAGATGGTGTTATGAGGGACCTCACGTGGTGTAGTAGTTCCCTCACAGATGGTGTTATGAGGGGCATCACGTGGTGTAGTAGTTCCCTCACAGATGGTGTTATGAGGGGGCATCACTTGGTGTATGAATTGCCTCGCAGGTGGTGTTATGAGGGACCTCACGTGGTGTATGAATTGCCTCACAGATGGTGTTATGAGGGACCTCATGTGGTGTAGTAGTTCCCTCACAGATGGTGTTATGAGGGGCATCACTTGGTGTATGAATTGCCTCGCAGGTGGTGTTATGAGGGACCTCACGTGGTGTATGAATTGCCTCACAGATGGTGTTATGAGGGGCATCACTTGGTGTATGAATTGCCTCACAGATGGTGTTATGAGGGACCTCACGTGGTGTAGTAGTTCCCTTATAGATGGTGTTATGAGGGACCTCACGTGGTGTAGTAGTTCCCTCACATATGGTGTTATGAGGGAACTGATGTGGTGTAGTAATTCCCTCACAGATGGTGTTATATGAGTGAGGTGTGGTCCCAGGCCTTCCTATCGTAGACGGATTAACACATCGCTGGTTGTTGCTGGGTCTCACAGGCAGTTATCACTGGGTACCTGGGACCTCAGTGTGTGAAGGTTAACTGTCTCGTGTGTTATGGCTCGGCTGTTACTGTTGAGTTGCACTGTTCACCTCTGTTCAACACTGGTTCCGTTCCTTTCCTAAATGAAATTGTAACTTCTGGCGAGAACTTGTTGATATTCCGATGGGGAGGAGGGTTCAGGGGAGGGAGTTGGTATGGGCCAACTTAACAGTTGACCTGGCTGCTCCCAGAGGAGTGCCAGGTACCTCTTGACCCTTGGGTGGTCTTGACGATATATGCACTCGTTCTTACACTTAGGACACTTAACTGATGTCGGGAGAACACCATGAAATCTAATAAATGCTATAGCTTGTTAGTTTTTTCCCCAAAACTCTCAATCAGCTCCACATAATTGAAGTGACACCCATCACAGACTTCCATGGTCGGAAATAAATTTGAATTTTGAAATATGAGAAACCCAAAATCACAATCGAATCTGACCGGGCAAAAAAATACCACGAATTAAACCACAATTCATTTTGATTGGTGGAAAAAAAACGCCTTTGATTGGCCGCGTGACGTGTATGGGAACGCATGCGAGTGACAATTTATGAAGGGAACAGGCAGAGTGGGAGGTGAGGTAGGGGATAATGGTGGAAGATTAATGGAATAAAATAGATAAAGATTTGGCAAGTGTTATCTCCGTTATTATACGTTTGCGATGGTAATGTAATAGAAGAAAATTATCTTAAAATTATCTTTTTCGAATATGATAATAGATTTGGGGGTAGGAAAGTTGTGTGAACTAATACAAAAACTGTACTGCATAAACCTCATCGAGTGAGGTAATTATCGGGCATAATACTCCATTGATTCTGAATTTGGTAATAATATAGGACAAACCCGCAAGCGAAATTGATTGAAAGCAATTATATAAACGTCTGATTTTCATTGTTATATTATAGTGGACACTGTTGTAGTTTGTGGAAATATATTAAAAAATGAATATTATAAAAATAAACGCTATTTAACATTAGTGGGTATGGAGAACAAACAAACCTACCTAACCTTACCTAACTTCTCCGGTATATTAAACAAAGAACTTACTATGACATGGTGAAATTTGAAGCATTTTCTGGACGTGAGATGATACGGCCACATTGGCAGTATGCAGCCCTGGCGGGTTAGTCCTATTATATATTAACCACCAATTATTGGTACAGCATGTGTTATCATATACAGTAATAAGTCTCTGTATTAAGCCTCCATTAATCTTCACTCAATAAATTCAATTCAGGGTAAATTTATAATAGTGAACCGTTCTCTCTTTGGGTATTAGAAATATGGGTAAAAATCCAACCTAACCTAATCAGGGAGGTCTACTTGATAAGGTTAGGTTAGATAGAATGGCGCACTAATATAAAGTGACCAAATAATTATTATAATGTTGAACGTAAAAACAACAATAATAATAATAATTATTATTATTATTTTTATAATAACTAATAACAATAATGTACTTACAATAATAATAATGTTTTTAATGGAATTTCAACATAATTTGTATTATTATAGAAGGTAATGGTTGTATTATAATTTTATTTTGACCTTTTCCTCATCACCAAACAATGTCCAAGAGCCATACCTTAACCTAACCAAACACTGTGTTATGTGTGTAATGAAACCGAGTTTGCCAGTACATAACTAAGTTCTTATAACTGTCCTACAGCAATACTGTACAATAGTATTTGAAACAAATCGATACAACAAAATTTGATTAAAGAATACTGAAACACAGATGGAACATTTAGGCAGAATGATAGTACAGTACAGAAATTCTTTATCCATAAAGCATTACATCCCTTATATATACATTAGTACATGAGAACAATATACCAGTACTGTACTGTACAGTAAACTCTCAGCACCCACCAGTACTGTACTGTACAGTAAACTCCCAGCACCCACCAGTACTGTACTGTACAGTAAACTCTCAGCACCCACCAGTACTGTACTGTATAGTAAACTCCCAGCACCCACCAGTACTGTACTGTACAGTAAACTCTCAGCACCCACCAGTACTGTACTGTACAGTAAACTCTCAGCACCCACCAGTACTGTACTGTACAGTAAACTCTCAGCACCCACCAGTACTGTACTGTACAGTAAACTCTCAGCACCCACCAGTACTGTACTGTACAGTAAACTCTCAGCACCCACCAGTACTGTACTGTACAGTAAACTCTCAGCACCCACCAGTACTGTACTGTACAGTAAACTCTCAGCACCCACCAGTACTGTACTGTACTGTACAGTAAACTCAGCACCCACTATACTGTACTGTACAGTAAAACTCTCAGCACCCACCAGTACTCTGTACTGAAGCAGTAAACTTCTCAGCACCCACCAGTACTGTATCACTACTGTAGGTAAACTCAGTACTCCACCAGTACTGTACTGTACAGTAAACTCTCAGCACCCACCTGTAGTACTGTACTGTACAGTAAACTCCCCAGCACTCCACCAGTACTGTACTGTACAAACCTCAGCACTCCACCAGTACTGGTATCACTGTATAGTAAACTCCCAGTACTGTACTGTACAGTAAACCCCAGCACCCACCAGCATTGCACTGTACAGTAAACCAGCACCCACCAGTACTGTACTGTACAG